CCCCCTCCAGATCCCCAGACCCTGCTCCATCCCAGAGAGGAACACGCAGCCTCAGCCTGACCGCGTGATCTCCCCATAACTGAGCCATTATTCTTCTTTTGTTTGTTTAGTTGCTTTACACAAACAAATCCCGAGGCTCACGTTCTAAACCTGTCTCATCCGTGAAGCCTTCCCCGGCCTCTTGGACTTGTGTCTTCCCTTCTGGGGAGTGAGCATTATGTATCACAGTTTTGTGCTCAGATTTTCAGCATCCTCTTTCCTGTGTGGTCCAAGCCAAGTTGCTTGCTATCTGTGCCCCAGTTCTATCTTTAAAAGGGAGATAATGCCTGTCTCAATTGGAAGTAAATACAAAACTTACATAAAGGACTTAGATGTAATACGTCACACGCTGGGCTAACACTTACAGCACAACTACCACTAACGCCAGACCTGCTTGGCATCCTCACTGCACAACTGGTACCTTCTCATCTGTTTCGTTCCTGAGTTGGTCTCCTAATTAACTTAGACCCCAATTACGGATTGTAAGTTCCCCAAGCCTACAGGGGAGCATCTGGCAACAAGGGAGCTGCAGATCATCAAGAAATCCCATACCTGACTCTTCCCTGAACAACACTGGAACTGGAACGTGGCCACCTTCCCCCAGGACCCCCTGAGAACCCGACCAACGGTCAAGAATAGGACAGGCAAGTCTACATTTTCTTACTCTCAGAAACGAAGCTTCTAAGACTACAGAAGCGTTTTGAAGGTATCAAATGATGGGCAACAAAATGCAGGGGGAGGGGCAGTGGGATCCCAACTCAGACGGTCCTCAGTGAAAGAGACTCTCAGCATGATGACTTTAAAATGGAATATGCACTGGGTGTTGTCCTCATGCCTCCTACCTCCATTAGAAAAAACTGAGAGTCTGAAAACCCCACATCCACTGTCCGACTCTGTGACAGATGCTTCACCCAGCTGTAATAAGGGAACAGGGACTACACGACCCACAAAGCCCACAGATGGAACTTCACTTCAGACTGGCAGATGCCGAACTTTTAAGCTGAAAAAGAAGATGGCCAACTCCTGGAAACACAGCTCGTTAGCATAAACCCAAGCACAGAACAGCGGGGTCCTGGCACTGCGCCAGCTCCAAAGGACCTCAAAGCCACAGGCAGGATGACTGTATCCACATAACACTCCAGGCACATGAGAGACACAGATATCCCCAAACTTGGTTGGACAAAGTGTATCTATTTTCAAGGCATGAACCAAAAGTTACACTTTAAATAAATTCTGAAACTGTGATGGACGGATGGATGGGCAGACAGATGATGGATAGATGGATGGATGAATACATGGATAGACGGATGGACAGATGGATAAATGGATGGATGAATGATGAATGGACAGTGGATGATGGGCAGATGATGGATGAATGATAGAGAAACAGAGCAAATGCTGAAGAGAAACAGCAGCACCAGGCACCAAACGTCACCTTTGAAGGGAAATGAGAAAATTGTCAGAGTCAACAATCATAAGGCACCCCAATTCCAGGGACAATGAAGCATGAAAACAACACGCATCTTAGAATGGACGAAATACTATTTCCTCCTCCCAGGTCTTCTAACTCAAGTTTCAGAGAAGGGTCTTCATGAAAGCTCCGTGAATGCGTTTAAAATGAGCCCTACACCAGAAGTCAGGAGCCCCGAGACCCAGTAGCACATAGCGCGGTCATTAACCAGAGCGCGATCCAGTGAACTCCGCACCGCCCACCGCGAGCCCTAGGACTGCTCACACGTGAGGACCGAGGGCCGCGCCGGGACAGCCCCGCAGCAGAGCGCCCGGCGTTCATCCCAACCGAGCTGCTGGGTACCTGCCCTTCTTCCCACATGTCCCCTGGGAAAACGTACAGAGAATGCGCTCAAACGGACAGCATATCCAACCAGGAGGATGGGAGACACGTCAGTAAGAGTGCACGTTACTGAGGGAGCGAGGAATGTGGACTGGAACCCCAGCTTATAATCCACCCTGCGTGCGGAGCGCGACGCCAGGCTGCTGCTCACCGCCGTCGCCCGTGGTCCAACATGGACAAGTCGAACACCGCGTCTGGAGCTCTGCACTGAATCGTCTGCAGGCTCAATAGACACCCTAACTCAGAAAACGACACTGGACCCTCAGCATCAGCCAGGGCTACAAACCTGAGTTCTGAACACAAAGGGGAAAAGTCATTCAGACACGGCTCTCACAGAACATCAGCCCCCTGGCTGTCGGAAGACACGCAGCACCCAAGACGTGTCTGACTTCCACGGATCCGCTCATGAAAACTGAGTCTAGAAAAGCTCTAGGATAAATCAGAGACTTTGGCAGTCATCAGCTCTAAGCAGAAGGCGTCACCTTCTAGTGGTCTTGGGAAGCATTCACTTTAAAAAGTCAATTTTAAACTATCTAACGGACATGAGTGCTTCCAGAACCAAAACTACACACGTTGCTACACCTTCTTCAAAAAAAAGCACAAAATAGTAAAGCTGTTAATGGGAAAAGAAACTGTGGACAGGTATCAATTACCTTGCGAGCTCTGAGAAGCCTCATTCCACAGACGAGTAAAACCTTCCATCAGGGACAACAGGCCACCCGTGTTTTCTGGGTTTATTTTTGGCCTTTTGCTTTCATTTGAGTTTATCCAAACTTAGCTGGACCCTGATGAACGCAGGCGTAACGCAACCGGACAGGGGATGTGCTCCTGAGGGCAGGACGGCTGCGCCATCAGGGCACTGATGCTTGTCATGGCAGACACGGGGGAGAGGGCTCTGGGGAGGTGAGGGCTGCGGCCAGGGCCGGGGTGGGAGGGCATTGGCCCCGCAGGAACACTCCAGACCTGACCGTGACGGGACAGCTGATCACTGACAGTGCAATTTTAAGCTGAGGGGTAACGCACTTCTTTCTCACTGCCCTGGGAGAGCAGTGAGCCACTTTAATACCCCTGAGTTGTAAGTATTTCAGGGCAGCAGCCGGCTTTGTGTGCCCTATATGAACAGCAGGAGCCACCTGCCACTAGTAGGTGTTTTATGCCAAAATTACATGGGAAATAATACCTATACACAGAGAGACATTACACAAAAAGCAAATGTGCTACCCTTCACCGATAAAAAGGCTGCCGGCATCACCAAGGGCTGTCAGCCATGGGTCTGCAGTCTAGTAGTGGTGCCGGTCAACACAGGCACATCTCACTCTTCTCCAGGAACACGTGTCTCGGAGACAGCAAGCACAAAGTTCACACTGGTGCTTCAGAGACTGTGCGTACATCACTGGTGACATATCAGTCCTTGGTGACTTTAATCTCCCTTGTCTGGGAGTCCAAAAATGCATCTGATTAGCTACAGCCTTAGTAAAAGCTGATTACACGGCTTCTGTCTATTAGAAAGAAAAAGGTAAAATCCACCCCAGACGGCCGGTATTGTCGACCACGAGGTTCTCGGAGAGACAGAACTGATTCAAAGAGAAGGCTGAAGGAAAGGGACCCACTGGACTCAGGTGATAATGTTCCAGGAGACTCCTCTGAAGAGGACACCAGTTGCTCAGATTCAGACATGCCAGCATGTTTCTTCCTCAAGTGAGCTGTGGCACTGAGTTTAGTTCCGTAAATACGTTAGAAGCCATGTGCTCCTAACTTACTCATCTTACCACATACACACCAGGGCATGGGACCCCACAAGGGTGACAGAAGTACCAGATAACTTTAAAAAAACTCAAAAAATCAAAATTAGAAAATGTGCCTCCTTAACACTAAAAGAGCTATTTGGACTTAAATTCCCTTTCTTCCATTTTCAGGTCTGTGATGCTTAGCAAGCAAAGAGACTGCCAGTCCAGACAGGGAAGAGAAAGATGTGAGACTCTTAGAAAAACCTACCAATTGGTAAAAATCATTAAAATGGCTATAATTACATAAAACAATGATGCATATTTAAACTTAGTGAAAACATGCTCCGAGTCTCTTACACTACATTTTTGTGAAGCCGTTAAGAAACTCAGACTCTTGTCAACTCCTGAATTCTCTATCCTATGTATGTGTCTCTAATACTCTTCAGGAAAACATCATAGTTTTAATGTTTATAATAGGCAGATAATCCTCATCAGCGTATCTTCATTTGATTTTGGGAAACTTCTCCTGGCCCTGTGAACGAAGAGTTCCATAAAACACCATCTACCAGCGCGTTTGAGCAGCCCAGAGGCACTTACACAAAACACTTTAAAGACATAAAACAAAAATCAGCATCAGGAAATTATATTTTAAATGAAGTACCTATGTTAATTGCAGTTTCCTGTTTGTCTCCTGTCAACACCCATATTTTAATTTCTGCCTTCAACAGAGTCGCGATGGTCTCGGGCACACCTGCCTGAAGACGGTCTTCTATGGCCGTGGCTCCAAGGAGCAGTAGATTCTAGATTGGGAAATATTTTCAGTTAAAGATGGGTAGACACTGAAGATCGGCATTAACAGGACAAAGCTTTTGACATAAGAAAGGCAGTCAGAATGCTCTGAGACAGTGATCTTATTTCCTCTCCATTGAACCTTTGTCTGCAGATAACTGATGATATAGCCACACGTGTGGCATTTCCAAACCAGCCGCAGAAGGGAGAGCATAGCTCAGACCTTAGCAGGAACGAGGTCCTGGGCTCCATCCCCAGTCCCTCCGTTAAAAATAAATAAATAAGCCTAATGACCCTCTGCCCAATAAAAGAAAAAAAAAGTCAAAACCATCCACCAGGCTAGACCGCCTCCACACACAGGCCAGCATCTAGTTCTGGGTGCCCAGGTGCTCTGGAATAGGACCCATTTGGCAGTAGAGCACACGGGGTGAGTTATCCCAGGAACATCAACAGGACTGAGCCACTCTCCCATCCACTAATGAGCAGAGGACAATGGTATCGTGAACACATGAGAGAAACAGACTCAGTAACCAGAAAAGCCAACACCTCCTGGGCGCACGCGCTCTGCACGCCCGGGGCTGCCGGGCACTGAGCCTATTATATGCTTTGTTCTGATTCTAATAGTAATTTTGGATATTTCCAGTGAAGCAGGGCAAATGAACACCTGAACTCGGTTCTACCCCTACCCAAATTACAGTGAAATGGCAAACGAGTCAATAAAAAAACTGAGTATAAAAAAGCAAACGGGAATCTCTTTCAAAAAAGGAATTTAAAAAAAACAAACAAGTGATGACTTTGGAGCTATGGAGATTGGAAAACGGATGGACCAATGTTTGCTGACATGAAACAGAAAAGGCTGAGATCCAGCTCCCACATTCAAGGGAATCAATTTGTGAAAAGCTGCCTAATGTCTTGGCATGAACTGAAGTGACAAAATCAACACAGGCAATTAGAGGGGAGGGTAGAGCTCAGCGGTAGAGCGTCTGCTTAGCAGGCACGAGGTCCTGGGTTCCATCCGCAGTACCTCCATAAAAAAAGAAAAATTACCGGAACAGTAAGTGTGATTATATTTAGTGTATCCAATGTCCGCCCAGCCTCCGCATTCCGACAGCTCGGGTAACTCAGCATGGTCAGCTAATCTCATGAAGCCTCAGCTTAGGCAAACCCAGAAAGTCGCTGGTGCCATTTTTGACCTGCTACTTCTTAAGACATCATTAGTGCTTGGCGGAGGGTGGCTAGACCCTTCAGAGACCCCACAAGAACTAAGTGTTTCTTAAAGCGAAGGAAGAAACGATTAAAAGCTAATGGTTAGTTAAGATACTTACAAGAGAAGAGACCACCGCTCTAGAGCAAGAGGAATGATTCCCCTTCAAAGACTGTTCAACACGTGGTTCTCTCAGCCCCTCCCTGGCACCTGACTCCTCTGTCGCGTGCAGTTACCTTCTCAATGATCTCGTAACACTCCTCCAGCCGCTGAGCTCGGTCCTTCAGGATCGTGCTGGCCTCCTGATAGACTTTGAGCCACTCCTCGTACTCACTCTCAGAGAGGTCGGCGTAAGCCACACAGAGAGTCCGCAAGCCTGCAAAACAGCCGCGGGCCCCCCGTGACGCCGCTAGTGACGGACCAGCAGGACGGCTCGCCCCCCACCCCGGTGGCCCCCCGCGGCCCAGGGTCCTACACGCACACACGAAGAAATTAAGGCAACCGACTACTCTACAGGTCACTCCAGTTCAACTTCCACATATTTCAAAAGAGAATTTAAATACAAACCACCTCTTCTACAGACGCTGACAATACAGAAGCCAGGAGGGTGAATTCCCGCAGCAGACGCCCAGGAGCCGAGCGCGAAGCACGCGCGCGAGCAGGGGGCAGGCACCAGCAGTCAGGACGGCAGGAGCCGGCTTCCAGACAGCAATGAAACCCCAGCGTGCTATCGTGTGAAAACCCGAGGCTTCCAAGCAGCCACGCCCGTGTGTGCACGTGCGCAGGCGTGCACGTGCGCGCGCGGGGCCGCAGGCGCTCAGGCCCGGAAGCAGCAGTCAGCACTCAAGCAGGGCTCCAACTGATCGCGTTCACAAGCCGGGGAGCCGGACGGGAGTGCTGTTTAAAGACTGCAGAGAACCCCTTCCTGTTCTCTGTGGGGCCGATGAATTGGTCTTCCCTTAAGCCCAGGGCAAGCCAGGGTCAGAGGAATGAGGAGAGACAAGGAGGTAACAAGGCAGTAATAACTAGGAGAGGACTCCGCGTCGGAATCTCAGCCTTCGCTGCCTACTGCATACTGTGGGGTTTTTCCCCCGGCAGAGTTGTCCATTTAATCATCATAATCACATGGGTCTGCTGGACACCGGGATCATGTGTGGACGTACCCATCAGGATACACAGCAACGTCAGGCTTGTGCCTCCAGAGCAGACATGACATTAACACGTGCACTATTCACACCGGGGGCTGAAGGTGAGGAACCAGGGGTGTGAGCAGGACTCCGTTCTCCCCAGCGGGACTGGCATGTCTGGCTAAGAGTTGGGGGGGTCACATACAGGTAACAACGTGGCCTATGGCCACACCTCTTGTCACTGCCCCGGGCACGGGATGTAGAGGGTGGGGATCGGGGTGGGCACCGGAAAAAGACACGCCTGTGAAGCAAGCCAAGCGCTGCATAGAAATGACCCGTCCCTTCAGAACACGACGGCTGGCCCCAGCGCCACCAGACGGTCCAACTGCAGGCGGAGAAACCGCATCTCCTGATTCCCCTTACCTTCCGTGGCAAAATACTCCAGGTGGCATAATGTTTCCTCCATGTATTTTGAATCTTTGGAAAGTCTCTCAAAAATGACATTATCCTAGAAAGGAAGGAAACATCGTGACTGGCACACCCTGGGGTCGGCTGACCTGCTAGCCAGCACTGCAAACCCGGCTTTGTTTCCGCAGTGTTTATGCCGAGGGCGTGAGGACACCTGTGTGGGCGAGTGCAAACAGTTCTGGGCTGGATTCAGTCCTGAGCTTTGGAAAACAAGTAGGGTGTGGACCTGCGTCCACACAGGAGCGGGCTGGGGAGGACCGTGGTGTCAGGAGACTCATCGGGGGACAATGGGGCCCACCTTCACCCACATTTGCAGAGTGCCTCCCAGCGTCTGATGCCTTTTGCAGAAGTGAGACGCAGAAGATGCTCAGCCTGCCCTCCTCAGGTGCACCCCCCTTCCTGCCTCTGCAGGGGGCCCCAACCAGGGAGGGCATGGCCCACGGGGCTCTCAACCCGGCTCAGCTGAGAACACGCTGCATGGACAGCCCATCACCCTGGGACCACGTCCATGACCGACAGGCAGGGCGGGGAGCTGGAGACTATAGGTCATGCAGCAGGTATGTTACAAACTGCACCACTGGAGGCCCCCCAAAATACTTCTAAGATGCCCAGTTTGGCAGAGGCAGGTTAGAGGAGAACTCGATCCTACAAAAAACAAAAAGCACCACTGCAGGGCTTCCCGCCCCCGGGCCTGCGACCGCCCCCGCCGCTGAGCCAGGCGCAGGCCCCTTCTGGACGTGCAGCGGTCCTGAGAGCAGAACGGCAAACAAGCAAACCAAAAGTTAAGGCGGGGGTCATGGGGGGACATAATCTAGGCGGCCTTGATGGGTCCAGATATGATGCCTTTAGAAGTCACACGTATTACTCACATTTTAAAAGCTCTGGTCACAATGTACGCAGATAATTCTTCCCCTCGTTGGGAAAGATTGGGAAGATTTCCAACAAGTCACTGACCCTGGTGCAGCTTCACAGCCCAGACAGTCTCATAAAATGAGGTTAGTAACTCTTTCCCTCAACACATAAGACCACAGTATAACAGAACACAGTTTTGCAGGTCAGACCCATAAACAGTGTCAGCTTTCCTTAGAGACGTAGGACATTCAGGTTCGATTACCAGGAGGCAGACAGGACAAAAAGCTGGCCACAGGTGGACACTACCTCACGCCTGCCACACAGCCTCTGTAGTGAACAAAGCCCACACGACAGGTGCTGAGGCGAGCTGACAGAAGTGTACGTGTCAGAGCACTTAGAAGGCCATCGGTCAGTACCAGTGACCGCATCTGCTGACGTCACAACACAACGCTGGTAAAATGGGGATCAGAATTCACACCCCAAGGCTTCTGCACGACACAGCCAGCTACTGGTTCCCACCCCACCACTGCTGCACAGCGAGCCCTCCGCTGAAGCCCCAGGATCTCAGGTGGGCTAGTACCCCTAAGTCAGCTTCAGGCCGACGGGAAGAGCCTTCCGACCCTGGGCAGCCACCAGGGATGTGGGCACGGCCGTGAGGGAAGCCTGGGGGCCTCAATACTTACAGCCCCCTTACAGTAGAGCCGCAGCTGTCCCGAAGGGGTTCGCACAATCACAGACATTCTCTTTCTGTCGCTGCAAGAGTGAAAACAAAAAGGAAAGAGAATTGTCACTGGTCTGTTCTCTAGGACCACGTCCTGTGACACACACCCAACAACCCAAAGGCGGTCTGGCCGCCGCCGAAACGGCCAGGCTCCATTCCCTCTCCCTTCCTCCTCCAAGCCAGACTCCAGTGTGCCGTCTCCTGCTCTCCTCCTTACATGTCAGGGGCGCAAGCCTGCTCCTGTCCCTGCCCTGGAAACTCAGCAGCACAGCTCTTCACGGCAGGACAGGCAGAGACGGAGGACGTGAGCACCTCCTCGTGCATCTAATTCACTTGTTTTTCACTGAAGTTTAGCTGATTTACAGTGTTGGGTTAGTTTTGGTGCACAGCACAGTGGTTCAGTTACACACACACACATACATTCTGTACAAGGCATCGGATGTAGTTCTCTGTGCTGTGCAGGAGGTCCTTGCTGTTTCTGTATTTTACATATCGTCATGTGTATCTGCTCATCCCAAACTCCCAATTTATCCCTCCTCTCTTTCCCCTTTGGTAACCAGAAGTTGGTTTTCTATGTCTGTGAGTCTCTTTCTGTTTTATAAATAAGCTCATTTGTGTCATTTTTTTAATTTCCCATATAAGTGAGGTCATATGGTGTCTGTCTCCGTTGACTTCTGACAATGCTCTGCTGAAGTCCTTTTCTTTATTTCACAGCTCAGAAATACTCAGTAACCTGCCCAGTAAGCAGAGCAGAAGAGTCAGCATAAACCCACTTCACTCAAAGGCTCCTCGGTGCAGCTTCTTTTGACTAGAGTAGAAAGAAAGGACAAATTCCGCGAACACTCCTGCCTTAGCCCCGAGGTCACGTGGTCGCTCCCCAGCCTGCAGCACACAAGCCTCCTCCACACCTTCCATGAGGACCCCTCACTCCCTCACTCCTTCTCCACCCACCTCTGCAGCCTCTTCTCAGCTCCCAGGAGCCGTCTCCCACCAAAGGACTCAGCACCCCTGCCCATACCTTCTGCTCCACCCCTCCGCAGACAGCATCTCGTCCTCCTGACCCACGGCCCCGCCACCGTGGCCCCAGACCGCCCACCTCTTGGACCTTTCTACAAGGTGATTTCCAATGGACCACAACCTCCTAAGAGCAAGGGACATCCCCTCTCTGGCTCTGTGTGAATTCCTGCATCCTAACCCCTGGCCCCCTGTCTGACCTGCATCTGAGTTCTCGCTCCCAGTCAGCTCCCTAGCAGCCAGGCGCTCTCAGCAAGGTTGTTCACCCGGCATTTCAGTTTCTGAACGAGTAAAGCAGGTGGCCACCAACTACTTCAAAGGAGTGCTGACAGGCTTAAGTGGCATCTGGAAAAAGACGGGGCAGCTAAAAAGAAAAAGAACCACATCTACAACCACAAGTGAGCTCTCTGCTCCCTCCTAGGCTCCCAGAAGTTTTTAAAATACATCCTCATGCCTTCATCCACATCCGCCTGTTTCCAGCTAACTCCCTTTTCTCCTCCAGTAACTGCTGGTCCCAGTTGATGGCTCTGCACAACAGCACAGAGATGTCAGAACAACAAAGGATGGGGCACATAAAGTCTGGAGAGACGTCCAGTGTGTCCCTCCCCTCCACACACGGGGACACTGTCCCCTAGACCAGGCACCTCCCTCTCCCACTGAATACCCAACCCAAGGGCTCCTGACCCAGCAAAGGTCAAGTCTGTCATCCTAAAACTGTAACATGGGGCTGGAAAGCTTTTCCTACAAGAGGGCAAAAAAATTTATCTTTTCAAATAGCTTATAGCTTGCTAAATCAGCAAAAAAATTGTGAATCATTTAACAGAGGTTATAAAAACCTAACTTTAACAGGGAAAGATGCTTTCAAGACACCACAGAACCTCGCTCTATAGTCACAGGTCGATGTTAAGAAGGAGGAAAGAAACAAAACATGAAGATACATGGGGTTTTTTATGAATGATCTAGGAAAACAGATGATCCAACAGATTACGCCGATGGTGAATTAATGAGCCACACTGGGGGACAATGAGTCTGAACATGCACATGAGCTGCCCTCCTCGGACCCAGCATCCAGCGGGGCGAGCTGATCTCACTGGTCCCCATTTGTCTGTTTCCAGGTCTCGTGCTCAGATGGGGCAGGACCTCGCGGGACCCGGAAGACCCACAGAAATAATGCCCTCATCACAGACTGCAAACTACGCAGGCGTGTCGGCAGCAGCAGACACAAGAACACCAACCTCCGGAAATCTAAAGAAAAGGAGGACATGGAAGCATACATTTCATCTTAAAACACAAAGGAAACGACCTACCTCACTTTCTTCAATGAAAGTCACAAACTCCAGAGAGACGAGGGCTAGTGGGGAATGTATTTACTGCATTTAATACTTAAGCACTGTATTTAATCATACCGTGCAATCACGAAAACACTCTGGTGAAGTTATTAAATATATATATGTCTGTATTTTCAGTGCATGAAAGAGAAACATACCTGGAAAATTCCAGGACATTAAGGATTCCAAATGTCTGTTCCTGTCCCATCTAGAGGAAGAAAAACAGGCTCTTACCTCAACTGCAAAGTATCAAAATCTCAAAACCGTCTCCCCAATCATAACCTCTCTACACACCTCTCCCTCCCCCTCCCCCTTCTCCTCCCACCACCCAATTCTCTCTCCATCAACCCCCTGCAGACGCCTTTCAACATGTACTGTTTCCCTACCATTCAGTCTGGTGGGGTCATAGCTCCCCCTTCTGGTGGAAACGTCTCATTTCTCTCCAGCAGGCGTGGCAGCCACACTCCCATCCAAGAAACACAATTAAACCTCAAAAGGTTCATCTGAAACCTAGCGCCAGTGATGCTGCCAAACTGAGAACCCTGCACGTTTCACAGAACCATATGCGTGCACCAGCACCATCACATCCCCGGGGCTGGGGAGGGTGATACAACACGTGGATTGTCTGTGGCAAAAGCTATTCACACTAAGTGAGCTTCCTACAGACCAGAAGCAGCCCCAGGTCGGCTTAGGTTCTGCTACCAAATGTCCATGCCCCAAATCTGGAGGGAAAAAGAAAACTTCTGGCATTCAAAACTCTGGGGATTTGGGATTTGGAAATAAGGCACTATAAATCCGCACCAGATTTTAGGGCAATTAATCAAACGTCTTCTTTCTTCAGGTTCTTCAAAGTTGGAACTTCAATATCCTCCTTTTTTTTTACAGAAGTTCCATATTACGTGTGTACAACTTCCAAACTTTTTAATAGAACCTGCTTTTTCCCCTAGTACATCCTCGTGGAAAGAGCGGGGCTTCGGTGTTGCACAGACAGGACTTACAGCCCAGCTTCTGCCGCTGACAGCACTGGTCCCCTGGTTTGGGAGAATAAATGAAGCAACACGCAGATCGCCAAGGGCATGGCATGTGTGTGCACACACGCGCACATACACACACACATACACACACACACACACACACACACACACATGGGGCAGCACTGGGTAATCATCACCCGCCCCTCTGCAACGCCCCAGCCCTTTCTCTCTGCATCCGAAAATACAGCTGATGCGCCACTGCACCCAGCCCTCAGCAGCCCCTGTGCCCCGCCTTCTGCAGCCGCAGCTCCCTTCCTCCTCAGCCGTCCAGCTTTGCCAGGCCCCCTTCAGAAGCTCGCTGCTGCGGGGAGGGCACAGGTCGGGGGTAGAGCGTGTGCTGAGCATGCATGAGGTCCTGGGTTCCATCCCCAGTACCTCTGTTAAAATAAATAAATAAACCTCATTAGCCCCCCAAAATAAATAAATAAAAATTTAAAAATAAAAACCTCACCGCTGGCCCCCCACCCCAGCACTAGCACTCTGGCCGCAGTTGCCCACCCACCCTGCACCACGGCTCTTGTGCCCCCGTGGACTGAAGGGCCATCAGTGAGGCCACTTCTTGTAAACCGCGGGCAGCAAACTCCAGGATTTGTGGTTTGATGATTCCCCGGTATTAAAGTTCTTGTTATTTATAAATGTTAGCTACTCAGGGGGTCTTTCTCACTACCACACCCCTCTCGGTCCCCGCGGCTGCAATGCAGAGGAACAGAGCAGCATCCACGCCCCTGAAATCCTGCAGTGAAGCTTAACGTCTCCAAACTGAAGGGCAGGAAGCCCTCAGCTGTTAGAAGCTTCCAAGAAGGAAATTCTCCGTTCGGTCCATACATCGTCCCAACTTTTGGGGACTGTACACTTCCCTAAGCTAAGTTCCCTGTGTTGACTGAAATAAAGTAAAAATAAACATGGTCTGATCTCTGTACTCCACGAAAAAAGAAACTGATGATGCCACGCAACGGGCACTTTGCACGCAGCACGATATTCTACAGGCTCTGCACGCCAGTGAGATGGGCTGCTGCCGAGGCGGGACCGACACCGAGCGGTCATGCCAGATGCACGTGAACTTCAGACGCATTCAAGCAATCTGGGGATTAAGGACGCAGAAAGCCAAACACTGTAAAAATCCATGGGTCCTCCCTCCCCAGGTCGAGGGTGGAGCACTTGCCCGCATCTGCCCAGATGGCAGTAATCGGGTCCCTCTAACCGCTCCATCCACAACACCCACCCCACCCAGCCAGCCATCCCAAGGGTCCCTATCTGACCTTCTTCCTGATGCAAAGCTTTTCTTACAACCCAGTTTCCCCCTCTGGCTCCTTGAGAGGGAAACTCAGAAAAATAATAGTAAAATAAACTTGATTTCAGGTGGGGATGAAACATATAGATTTAAAAAAAAGATCTTAATTGCCAACTCCCTCCTCTCCCCGCTGAGGAGACGGGAGCCAGCGACTGGGGGCTTCATGAAGACAGACCCAGACCCCCGACCAAGGACAGAGGCCATGGAGTCATCCCAGCCATCACAGGACAGAGCAACAGGGCACTAAGTTCCTCACGCACATCATCCCCATCAGCGAACAGAAGCCGGAGGGCAGCACCTTCAGGAGGGAAAGGTGAAGGCCGGCAGAACCGCTTACCGCTTCTATGATGACGGAGTAGGGCGTCCTGGCCGTGAAGACAAAGCCCAGCTTCCTAGCTCCTTTCACCAAAGCGGCCTCATCTGTCAACACAGAGCTGATGAGGACTGGCCTCCGGGAGGGACAAGCTTCCGTTCAGCAAGTGTTATTTTTCACATTAACAAGACCCACACCAGCCCCAGAGGGGAAGCCCAGACCTGAGACTCGTCCACCGGAAGGGACAATCCTGCCGCCAGCAGACGGCCAGAGGCACCTGGTGGGGACTGTGAAGAGCGGACTCGTCGCCGCACGCACCCAGGTCTCCCCATCTCACCTGGGGACGAGGCCTGGTAGACGATGCTGTCTCCGTCCTTCTCCGGAACCACGGTGTGGCACACGGCCAGAAGGGTGAGGAACTCCTGGATGCAAGGGGCGGTGGGCTGCAACGGGAGACGAGTTATCGGTTAGGACACCACGGACACACAGCAGAGTTAGAGGCAAGTCCCCTCCCACTTAAAATCCTGTGATGCCTTCCTGCTCCCTCGGATCAGAGGTCGAGGTCCGCAGCGTGGACTCCGGGTGCCCCGCGGTGCACACCCACTCACCCCCTCCCCATCAGCTGCTGCTCGCCAAGTCAGTCTTTCTATGCAACTTCCTGTCACCTCTCTGGGGTGACTCAGGTGCTAAAGGAAATACACGTCAAACATCTAGGACATGGCAGGCGCTATAAATGCTACGTGGTATCATCTCTCACTTTGGTTTCCTAAGCCGTCCAAGCCAAAGGACACTGCGAAACAGATGCCCTCTCAGGCCCGTGACTGAAGAAACAGCCCTGCAGAAGCTCGCAGAGCAACAGAAGCCCGAAATGTGGGAGAATTCTGCGGAAAGACTCATCTGGATCTTGACGCACTGCTTTATATTCACCACATATTTAATTCAGCTTTAAGTTCAGTGAGGCCAAGTGTTCTGCCTAAGTGGACCGCTTCCCTGAAGTCCTAGCAACATAGAAGTGAGGCTGTGTCTCTTCCCCAGGCTCCAAAATCGCAACTTTCAAGACACTACACGTACACACAAAAGTGCATCACAAGCTATTTAGTGTCCTAGACGCAAGTGGCGGCCTTACGTGATGGTCTTCGATGTTCCTCAAGAGCCGGGGGTCGTCAAAGTCACAGGAGTCACTGGGGGGAGGAGGCATCCGGCTGTAAGAGAAAACAGAAAACATTTCCTCAGCTCAAAAGTTTCTTTAAAATAAGTCGAACCTAGTAAGAATCTGTCTTCCAGAAGAACCACACCTAAAAACCCTATACAATTATATTAAGCTTTTAAAAAATTTTTTATTTTAATTTTTTTGTGGGGGAGGTAATTAGGTTTATCTATTTATTTATTACTTTTGGTGGAGGTACCGGGGATTGAACCTGGGACCTCATGCATGCTAGGCACACACTCTACCACTGAGCTATACCCTCCCCCCGTATTAAAGTTTTAAAGATTTGAAATATTGTATGTTATTTCAAACCTTGAGGCAGAAAAGCTTTAACCTTCCCATAAACAAAATACAGATGGTCCCTGCCTTACAGTGTTTCAACTTGATGGTTTTTCCACTTTTCGATGGTGCAAAGTGATACGTGTTCAATAGAAACCATACTTCAAATTTTGAATTTTGGCTTTTTCCTGGGCTGGCAACACAGGGCACAATCCTCTTCTGTGATGCCGCAGCTCCCAGGAAGCCCCCATCACAAGGGTGAATAACCAACACCCTGACCCCCATCCTAGACCCAGGCAACCATTCTGTTCTCCACTTTCAGTACAGTTCTCAATAAAGTCCGTGAGACATTCAACACTTCAGTATAAAACAGGCCCTGGGTTAGATGCTCTTGCCCAGCGTAGGCTAAGGTAAGTGTTCTGAGCACATCCCAGGGAGGCTGGGCTATGCCGGGATGCTCGGCAGGCTGGGTGTATTAAATGCATTTTTGAATTAGGACATTTTCAATGTACGATGGGCTACCAGGACATAGCCCGCTGTAAGCCGAGGGAGAGCTGTAGGTTCACTCTTAGTTACAAGGATAAGAAACAGACGCGAGGGTAAACGCCATGACGTGATCATTTTGTTTGGTCTCCGCATCTACCAAGGAAAACTTCCAAGCATGCCTGCTTCAAGTGCACAGAATAAGAGGCCTTGTGGCATTGCATCTGTGCAGCCATCCATGGGCAGAGCTCGTGTATGAAAGAGAAAAGGGCAAATAATTACGAAACAGGAAACTTGACATGACAGCCACGTGCCGACACACTGAAGAAATGGGAAGGGCTGAGTACGTCCGTGAACCTCCGTTTCTTTCTGAAACCCCTTCTCCGGGACAAAGACAATGGAGACAAGACGGCGGCAGGGCTGCTGTGAGCAGACATCGGAGTTTAGCATCGCAGAGAGAACAGAAACCACACCTTGCAGGGGTCGGGGCGGGGCACCTAGGACGCAAGCCGCCGCCCCCCACAGAACCTTGTGAAGGGGCAGGAAATGGCAGCACGAGGCACCTGTGAGACAAAGGGAAGGTGGGTGACAGAACAAGCCCCAAGTCCACCTGAGGAAGACTCAGCCTGCAAGAACACTGCCCTTACCCCGCACAGCCAGGCCACCGAGCCGGTGCACCCAGAAAGAAACGAAGGGCCATCCTCTAGAGAGCTTAAACCAGAGTAGCCCAGGGCCCGGAGACCCTGAGCACACAGGCAGGTGGGACAGGGCATCGTCCCCACACAGCAGTTTTAAGTGAAATCCCCTGTAAGCTGAGAGGTATGATCAACCACCCTCTGCCTCCGCGCAGCTCCCCTAACAGCTTCGGCCAGACTCGTAGCCCTTGGCAGGAAACTGGAGAAATCTTCCATCAAGAAAAAGACGAACCAGCTCACAAGATGCAATCAGCACAGATGCTGTCACCCTGGGATCCTCTAATAGTCCTGGCAAACCATCCCACAGGGAAGCCAGTCAGTCATCAACCACACTGCCCCCTCCACACACATGGCCCTACCATCAGCTCTCTTAGTGTATAAGTCTTAAAACATTAGCCAACAACATCACTAGTCTTACAGGAAATGCTAATCAAAACCACAGTGAGATACCACTTCACACCCACTGGGATGGCTATTACATAAAAAAAGAGAACCCGAAATGGACAAGTGTTGTGAGGATGTGGGGAAATTGTACATCACAGAGGGAATGTAAAACGGTCACACTGCTATGAAGAACAGTTTGGTGGTTCCTCAAAAAGTTAACCATAGAATTAACACACGACCCAGCAGTTCCACCTTTACATAGAAACCCAGAAAAAGTGAAAGCAGAAACTCAGATACCTGTACGTCAGCATTCAGGGAAGCATTATTCACAAAAGCCAAAAGGTGGAAGTGACCCAAGTGCCATCAACAGGTGAACTGACAAACAAGCGTGGTGACACAGACACACACAGGCTACCCTCCAGCCTCTAAAAGGAATGAAATCCTGACACACACTTAACACGTACGAAACCTTGAAGGTGAGGTGAGAGGCGGGAAGTGAGTGGACAATCCTGGACCAATGGCGGGCTGTTTTTGTGAGAGCCCTGCAGCACCGCTCGACTCTTAAAACCACACTCATGTTTACATTTCATTCTGGTTCTCTCTTGAAATAACATACATGAAACTTTTATTTAAAAAATATTCAGGTAAGAAATGCCAATAGAAGATTGTTCCAAAGCCTTTCCCACAAAAGGATCAAGAACTGCTAAAACTGACTTACCAGAAATCATCTGAGGATGGTTCCCTTGTCAATTCTGGAAAATGACTGCCAGAGACAGAAAAAACACAGTAGTCACCAAACTGTGATCAAAAAGACAGTTATTCACACAAAGAACAACCTTCAGCATAGGTCATACCTTATTATACATAGAAAACCTTTAAACATTCCACCAAAAAGCTGTTAGAATAAACAAATTCAGTAAAGGTGCAGGATACAAAAATCAACATACTTTTAAAAAGCCTTTGTATTTCTACACATTAATAAAGAACCAAGAGAAAGAGAAAATAAGAAAGCAGCCCCATCTACAGTTGCTTCCAAAAGAAAAATCACCTACGAGTAAATTCAACTAAGGAGGCAAAGACCTGTACACTGAAAACGTTAATGCATTAATGAAAGAAATCAGAGGAGACATGGAAAGATATCCCATGCTCATGGATTAGAAGAGTTAACAATGTTAAAATGTCCATACCACCCAAAGCAATCTGCAGATTCAACGCAATCCCTATCAAATTTCCAAGGGCAATGTTTCACAGCAATAAAACAATCCTACAATTTATATACAACCATAAAAAATATTGTGAAAGCAATCTTGAGAAATAAGAATAAAGCTCGATGCATCGTGCTCCCTGACCTCAAACTATATTACAAAGATATAGTAATCAAAACAGTGTGGTACCAGCATAAAAACAGACACATAGATCACTGAAACAGAATAGAGAGCCAGAAATAAACCCATGCATATCTGATCAATTAATTTATGACAATGGAGCCAAGAATAGCCAATGGGAAACAGACAGACTCTTCAATAAATGGTTTTGGGAAAAAAGGACAACCACATGCAAAAGAATGAAATGGGACTACTAACTTACACCACACACAAAAATTGACTCAAAACAGATTAAAGACTTGAATGTACGAGCTAAAACCATCAGACTCCTAGGAAAACACATAGGTGACAAGCTCCCTAATATTGGGCTTTGTGATGATTTCTTTGGGTCTGATACCAAGAACAAAGCAAAAATTAAAAGTAGGACTACATCAAACTAAAAAAGCTTCTTCACAGCAAGGAAACCATCAACAAAATGAAAAGGAAACCCACAGAATAGGGGAAAATATTTGCAAATTATAAAGCTGATAAGGGGTTAATATCTAAAATATATAAAGAACCCTTATAACTCAATAGCAAAAAAACAAAACAAAACAAAACCAATCCAATTAAAAAACAGAGGCTATATAGACATTTTTTCCAAAGAACACATACAGAGGACCAACAGATACATGAAAAGGTGCTCAACATCACTGATCATCTGGGAAATGCACATCAAAACCAAAATCAAAACTTCACACCTGTTAGAACGGCTACAACCGAAACGATAAGAAATGAATATTGACAAGGATGTGGAGTAAAGGGAACCCTTGTGTTCTACTGGTGGGAATGTGACTTGCTGCAGCCACTATGGAAAACAGTATGGAGGTTCCTCAAAAACTTAAAAATGGAACTATCATATGGCCCACCCATGCCACTTCTGGGTGTCTGTCTGAAGAAAACAAAAACACTATCTCAAAAGGACAGACATACAAGCTCATGTTTATTTCAACATTATTTACAACAGCCAAGACGCGGAAACAACCGAAGTGTCCATCAATGAGTGAATGAACCAAGAAAGTGTGGTATATACATAATGCACTACGATTCAGCCATAAAAAAGAACGAAATCTTTCCATTTTCAACAACATGGGTGGACCTTCGGGGCATTACGCTAAGTGAAGTAAGTCAGACAGAGAAAGACAAATACCACATGATCTCATGTATATGTAGAATCTAAAAACAAAAAACAAAAAACAAACAAAAAAACAAGCTCTCAAAGATAATTGGTGATTGCCGGAGGCAAGGGTAGAGGATGGGTGAAATGGGTCAAGGAGGTCAAAAGGTACAAACTTTCAGTTATGAAATAAATAAGGAACGGGGCTATAGTGCATAGCATGGTGACCACAGTTAATAATGCTGTATTACATACTTGAAAGCTGCTGAGAGTAAATCTTAAAAGCTCCTTCACAAGAAAAAAAATTTCTAACTATGTATGGTGATGAATATTAACTAGATTTATTGCAGTCATTGTTTCACAATGTATACAAATATCAAATCATTATGTTGTCAATTATACCTCAACTTTAAAAAATACCATATGATATCACTCATATGTGGAATCTAAAAAAAAAGAAAAAAAGAGGACACTAATGAACCCATCTACGAAACACACAGACTCACAGACATAGTAAACAATCTTATGGTTACTGGGGGAAAGGGAGTGGGAAGGGATAAACTTGGGAGTTTGAGATTTGCAAATGTTAACTGCTATATATTAAAAATAGATTTAAAAATTTCTCTGTACAGCACAGGGAACTATATTCAATATCTTGTAATAACCTTTAATGAAAAAGCATATGAAAATGAATATACATGTGTATATGCATGACGGACACTGTGCTGTGCACCAGAAATTGACATATTGTAGCTGTACTTCGATTTAAAAAAAAGGACAGCATTCAGATCAAACCATGAGTTAAAAATGTCTAATTATTAGATTAGAAATATAAATTTATACATTCCCTGAGATTTCTCACTAGGTTAATATTTGCAGAAATAAATCATGTTTTAACTATTCTAAGTTGGGCCCCATTCAGTTGAAAACGCATTCCATAGTAATTAGCGATCTAAGTCCCTTATAAATTTCCTTTCAAAATATCAGAAAGTCAAGGTGTTTGATTAAGCAGCTAAAAATAAACTTATTTTGTCAGAAGAATACAAATAAAATTTTCAGTCAGTGACAGACACTCACCCATACGTCACCCCAGCGATGCTGCACTTCTTGAAGTTCATGATGTTGCACGTAAGAGTTCCGGTCTTGTCAGAAAACAGGTATTTTACCTAAATCAAAGAATAGAAAAAACACATACGACGAATGAAATAAGATGCAAATGTCAATAAATGAAGTCTTGTTTATTTTTCAAAATCTGTATTAATTTTTTTAAAAGAAATTTCCTTAAGCAAGCAAAGTATGTTTTATAACTATATATATATAGTATGTCATAATTACATATTACTATAAAATAAATATATTTTAATGCTTAGGCCACTTAAAAACCTTTTCAAGAACCAGTTCAGAGTCCAGTTCTGCAGAAACGTACAAAGCAGGCGTCAGTAACAGCCCAGGGTCCATTTTAGATCTGGAGAGAAAGCATTAACTCCTGCCACCTGGCCTCTCAGTGACATGGCATCCTTCAAGCTAGTCTCTGATCTCATACAGAATTTGTGCCCAATATCCCCAGATAACAAGCTCGGACTTTGGCAACCACAAAGCACTTCCCTCTAAGACTCCATCCCCTAGCTGGACTAAGAGGGCATGTCCTGAAACAGCACAGAACAAACACGAAGCTTCTCAGTCACTATCGCAGTGAGATTACAGGAAGGCGGCGTGGAACTGCTGCAGATTACACAACTTTCCAAGGCACAAAGCTTTACAAATGTAACGCACTAAGCCTTCAGTATACAAAGGAGAAGAGAGAAATTTCTGTGGAGGTCAATAAGCAAACCATTTTGACATGATTAAGTGAGTGCAAAAGAGATGAACCCAAATGCCCACGTGCTGGGTGAGTTCTGTTCTTTCGGGCGTGCAGATGACGTGATGGGAAAGAGAGAGAACTCAGGACCAGGAGGGAAGGGACAGTCCCGGTGAGGCTATGGATACCAACCAGCCATGTGGGCTCTGGAAAAGTCACCTCACCCTTCTTGGATTCAGTTTCCACATCTATGAAATAAAGGGTTTGGCCAGAAAATCATGTAACATCAGACTATGTGTAAATTACACGATGGACTGTTGAGGGGGGAGTAATTAACACAACTGACTCCAGTAAAAATTCCAGCTTTGCAGTGATTTTTCTCAAGAGGGGTCAGGATCGCCACTGGATGCTCCAGGGATCCCAAAGAACCATGCTAGGGCAGCCACGCTGCACTGTTTTATAGGAGAGGGAGTAATAACATGAATTGTTCACTCTGCACTTTTCTTAATGACACCATACAAGCAAATACTCTGAGAATTATTTTTAAAGCAACTAAAGGTCCTTCAAGTAAAGATTGTTAATGATCTTAAAGCTTTAAGTCAAATATAACATAGAAATATAAAATATATTTATATGAAATAAATCTAATATATAATGTAAGACATATATAAAACATAAAAGTACACTATGGGTAATTAAATGTTTTAAGTATAAATAATAAGTTTTACATAAATGTTATACGCAGTAAGTTTAGGAGTATATAAAACTCAGTAGAATTGGCCTTTCAATAAGCAGTGTTTCTGCCTCTTCTTTAAAAATTAAAAGATTAGATCAAAATATATAAAAATGATAATTTTATAATAAGGAATTATTAGGACTTTCTATCACTCTGTCTACTGAATTTTAACGTCTCCTTTAAGTTCCAACTCAGAACACCGTCCCCATGCAGACGTTCCCTATTTCCAATCAGGATGAATTATTTCATCCTGGGCGCCTGAGTACCCGAGCCCTTTGGGGTTTGGGTCCAGTTCAGTGGCATCTGAGAACAGAGACGCAGTGAGCGCTGTGCTAAAATGATGGAGGAGACCAAAGAGCTTGCCAGGGACATCCACACCCACGAATGGGCTCAAAAGTCCCAGGGTGGACATGGACAGGTAGCCCTGCCAGACCTCTTATTTTACTGTATTTATGGTTGGAAAGACTGTTAGGGGAACACAGAAGAGAGACACATTAACTTCACTGGAAAACCAGAGAAGAGTTCAAGGAGGGGACAGATTTAGTCTGATCTGTATCACCCTGATCCCACGGGGTTGTTGGGAGATTCGTGTAAGATGTATCAAAGGGAATCAGAACCTTTCATTGCACTGCACGCAGGAGAGGTACTCCTTGCAGCGATCCCAACACAGGGTGACGGCGTGATGCAGAACGTCACTCAGCGAAGGCAGGAGGGTGACGGGGGTGATGGTGCAAAAGAAACGGGCTCCCCGAAGTACTCCAGAGACACAAGCCAGAACATGTGTGAGGTTGTATGGATTTACGTCCTTCAGACTACCCCCAGTGTTTTGTAGGGTTACCCACATCCAGGTATCTTAACCACTGCATGCCCTGTCATTTGCACCTGATTAACAATTTTAAGTCCAAAACAATGTTGTACTGTAGTTTTTGTACTAAACTTTTTGCAGGTACCTTCTAGACAATAAGATACATCCATGCCTCAGAAAGCAAGTCAGACCTATTAACACTTGTACTTTATAAAACCTTCAAATACTACAGAGCTCTTCAGACATCAAAACCACCTTTATGGAGAATTCTTTCTGCCAACTCTCTCCAGGGTTCTTCCAGTACTTGTCTGCCTCCATGCTCACATCACATTCCCGAAGTTCCCAAAGAGGGGCTCACCTGCCCGAGCTCCTCATTCAGGTTCGACGTCCTGGCCATGGCAGGGGTGTCGTTTCCCAGGTAATACATGTCTGTGTCCTGAGAGAGAGATGGGGGCACTTCAGAAAATAGGTACCATCAATCCCTCCTGCTGACCAACACGGAGAGAAGCTAAAAACAGATAACTCAATATAAATATTAATTCTTAATTTGGGGGTGAAAATTCAGTGTCTATGACTGTAGAGAAAACATCGTGATACAAGTGGAAGACATGGTACTTATTTATGTACAGAAGATTTGTCTTCGAGACGATCATTTCTTGACCGAGACTAACTCATATTTCCAGACTCAGCTAATACCTCGTTCCTGGGATTGTTCTGAAGCTAAATGAAAATGCACACGGAAGTGTCTGGTCTCCAAATCCTGGCTGCTGCGGTCCCGCACTTAATGGCCACGGCAGTTCCCTGGAAACGCCACCTCTGCTCTTGCAATAGAACCTAAGAGTGCTGTCATGGCGAATTCTGATACAGGGTGAACACTGAAGGAGCCACCCCTAAGAGAACTTCCTGCTGCACCACGGAGACTCCAAAGCATGAGCAGCTGCGGCCATTTCCTCCCCACTCCCCCGAGTGGCACCTGCTAAGCCTCTGAATTACCGCACTGAAGGCGCACAAGAGCCCCTTCAATAGGTGGTCCTGCCCTGCCCGCTTCATGGACCAGGACGCTGAGGTGCCAGGTGCCTAGTCACGACTGCCGCTGCTCAGGGACACCCCTGCCAGCTCCATTCAATCACTAAGGCCCTGAGAGGTGCTGGGGAGTGCCAGCCGGCGTGGCCCCCGCGGCCCAGCTCCTCGCTCCGTGTGGTACTCACCCAGTTTATAAAGAGGGCCTGCGTGTACTTCACCACCTCGAGAGTCACCAGCAGACTGATGGGGATGAGGTTGTTGTACAGAATGATGAAGGTCAACAGGTTATACCCAAAATTGTCCGAGCTCGTGTCTGTGGGAGAAAGCCAGACTGTCGGTGTAGCTTAGTCTCCATTCCGTTTCCCTGGGCTTTGCTATGTGGGAACATTTCTGAAAGACGTTCCCCCCTCACAAATTTTACTGGCTGATGTATGGATTTAGAGATTCAAGTTAAAGCAGTTACTGAGCACCTACTATGGGGCACGAACTGTGGACTCGAAGACGGGTAGGACATAGTTCTTTGCAATACAGAGCTGGCTTCCGACAGGAGGCTGCGGGCGAGGGGAGGAGGCGGGAGGAAGCCCCCCGCGATGCGAGCGAGCAGCACGGCCCGCCTGTGAAAGCGGAGCTCCCAGGGCACTGCGGAAGCCGAGGCAGGAGGATTCTCATGGGAAGGCACAGTCACTGAAGGCCACCCAGGGAACAGAGGCTTTCCTCGGGTCCTGGAGTGTAGAGACAGGGCAGCGAGCTAAAAGGGGCACAGAAGAGAGGACAGGCATCCGAAGTGGCTGCCAGGAGTGTCTGCAGCCTCACTGAGGTGTGGGCATATCTGAGACACTCCCAAAGAGCTGGCAGGATGGGGGCAGGTGTGAACGGGGAGAGGGGTGAAGGCAGGCAGGCAGGAAGCCTGGAGCTCATTGGAAGCTAAGAGAAGGGAAGTCTTGATGGAACAAGTTCCCCAAAGGATGGACTCCAAAGCGGAGGCAGGGTCAGCTTGGACAGAAGGAGGGCCCAGGAGAGGGGGAAGAGGGACAAAGAGTGTGAGTGTCGAAGCAGGAAGTTCTCTGACCTGAAGTCAAAAGTCGGACAGTGATGATGCAAATGGGAAGCCTGACGGTTTTTACCAGAGCTGCTCAGACTTCACCCCAAGGAAAGCAAAGCACAAAGTATGATGAATGGGACTAAAAGTATATATATTCTTCCAGTATAAATCGTGCAGCTAGTACTGGAGTTTGACATTATCTGAGCAATTTCAATGCTAGTTTCCACAAGGCTTGTATACAAATATATTGTCAAGGCTGTCTATTTACCCAGACCACGACATTTTGGACCTGAATAAACGTGTGCAAAGTTTACCAGTCTTCACGTTTGAAGCTAAACATACGACATGGCTGAAATCCAAATTTTAAAAACCAAAATCAAGGAATTTTTCATATCTACAGCGGAAGCCCCAGTCATGTTTCCCACATGTGTCAACGGCAACAGGAGTTCTGGGCAGTTAAGGTGTGTGAGTTTTCTATATGATAACTGGAAAAGGAAAAAAATGTTTCCACCAGTTCAAAATATATCGAAAGATGGGAATAATAGTCTTCCCAAGAAAACAACCCAAAGTTTAAAAAATTTCACTTTATTATTCAAAAAACTTTTATCATTAAATTTTATTTATTTTTCTGGAATTGCTGGGTAAGGAGATTGGCAAATTTCTTAAAAAAAAGAAGCAATAAAACTGGACTACATTGTCAAAAACAAGCATTTAAAGTGCATAGACACTGATCACACAGCATACAAAACAATCAAAAGCGTGAATTCAAGAACATCTACTCAGTGTGAGTAAGTGGGAGCCTTTGGCATCTAAGGTGAAGTCTGTTTTCCTCTTCTCTCCCCTAGGTCCGTGTTGCTTAAGCTCTGCTCTGGGTGGGTGGTTGGGGTGGGCCATGAGGACTGGCAGCTCTCATCTCCCCACCCTGGCTCTAGGGTGGGACTGGCTGTCGGAACAGGAACAGCCTGAGGGAGATGACATTATCTGAAGCACAAAAACAGCCATGTGCAGGGCACTGTCAAAACAACAGCAATCCCAGTGGCTCATGATCAAGGAAGACAAAGATCTCACAATACCAGTGGGGCAAACAAAACAGCAGACTAGCCAGAAATCAAACAGGCAGATCCATGGAAAGAGACGGCCAAAGAAACCCTGCCAAGCTTACACTCAACCCCGGTGGTCCAGGCCAGGTCCACACACAGGGCTGCAGCTGCTTAGGAGGGAATGGGGAGAGTGCTTGTGAGCTGCTGGTCCCTGACTGAAGTGGGGCGGATTTTAAACTCCCCGAACACTGCAGACACTTCCCAAGGCACACACAGATCAGACAGCTGGCTCCTTACTGACTCCAGGGGGTTAGGGACAACCTCTGACCAACCACTGGCTGACTTCTAAGCTGTGCTGACCCCCAGGAATCCAGGCTTAAAAGTAAAAACAAGGGGTGGGGGTGACTGGTAAATCAGGACAGGGCTTCTTTCTTGAGATAATGAAAATGTTGTCAAGTTAGGTAGCAGTGAGGGTTGCAAGGGATCTATGAAGATACTAAAACTCACCAAACACTTTAAACTGTACATTTTAAAAGAATTAAAAACTAAAAACATGGAAATAAAAACTGTGTAGTAACATCAGAGGCTGTACATTAGAGGAAAAAACAAACCTCCCAGAAATAGTCCAGGCAAGCCATGAAACAAATAAACAAAAAGTAGCGGGGGGGGGGGGCAGGGGGGAGAGGAAATCGGAGTCCTGCTATAATGCATTAGCTGAAATTCCCAGTTTTCAGTCCCCAAAATTTATGATACAAAGACACAGGAAAAGACTAATAGGAATTGCCTTTGACAAGCCCAAAGGATGGGTCAAACGAAGCTAGCAAAGCAGTTATTATAAACACATTCTAAGAACTAAAGAAAACTATTCAAAGAATTAAAAGAAAGTAAGATAACAATGACCATTAATTACAAAATATCGATAAAGAGATAGAAGTTTAAAAAGAACCAAATGGAAATTCTGGAATTAAAAAATAAAATAACTAAAAATCACTAAGGGGGCTCAACAATAGATTTGAGCTGGCAGAAGAGAGAACAGACAAACTCAAATATATATTAATAGGAATTATCCAATCTGAAGAACAGAAAGAAAAAAGAATAAAGAAAAACTGACAGAATCTCAGAGCCCCACAGAACACATCAAGTGGACCAACATACATATAATGGAAGTACCAGAAGGAGAGGGAAATGGAATGTGGCAGAAACAATTTTGAATAAATAGCTGAAAACTTTCCAAACTGAATGAAAAATATTACTGTACATATCCAAAAAGCTCAACAAACCTAAAACAGAATAAACTCAGAACTATTAAGAACCAAAAACGACTGTGAAAGCAGCAACAGAAAGATGAGTCACACACAGGAGAAAACTCAGTAAGATTAACAGCCGACCTCATCAGTACAACAGAGACCAGCAGGCAATGGGATGGCACATTCAAGGTACCACAAAGAAAGAACGTCAACCAAGAATTCCTACAAGAATGCTGCGTCAGCAAAACCATCCTTTAAAAACAAGGAAGAAATAAAGACATCTCAAAGACAGAAACTGGGATAATCTGTTGCTGTCCAGTGTGCCTTATAAGAAGTAATACAGAAAATTCTCCAGGATGAGAGGAAGTGATACCAGGCAGTAATTACATCCACATAAAGAAACAAAGGGCAATAAAGGTAATTATATAGGTACTATAAAAGATAATATAATTATTTTTTATCTTTTCTTTTGGATTTTAAAAAGTGGCAAAAAATCAGATGTAATG